TGCAAAGGTTTTGGACTTTTTCCAAGCAGGTAGTATCAAGTGTGGTATCAGATGGCAGTGATTAAACAAGAATGCTAAAAGCCATCTGTAATTTCCAGTTTTTCCTTTGTTCCAGGGCAGAGCAGTGTACAGCTCTGGATAAGTGGCCTCTTCTTTGTACAGATGGAGATCATATCCCTTACAAAGTACCTAAAGCCCTAAAGTGGCTTTCTTTTTTGATGCAGATGACCCTAATTGCTTCTGAAGCCCTTAGTACCTTAAGAAATGTTATTCTATTTTTCTGTGCAAAGTCTACAGTAGCCATGCTCTCACTTTTGGTTGCTTTGTTTTTATTCTCTTGATATATTGATTTTGGCTAATAATGGTACAGTACAGCAAAGATTTTATCTGACCAATACAGCCTAGGAGACCATTATGATGGTAGATTCAGAGTCCTGCAGCCCTAAATGTTACAATGAATCCAGTTAAAGGAAATTTTAAGTTTATATTTTTAAAAGGAAATTTCATGAAAAAACAGTAATTTTTTATTTTTAATAAGATAAAAAGTTAATTCCATCAAACAGACACCAATGTTAGATACTTTCAATATTATTTCTCACTTTTCAGAATACATAGCACAAACATGAGAGTTATCTTACTGAAATTAAACCTTGTGAGAGTTGGTTTTAATAGACTGGGCTTTTAGTGATGAGGTTAAAGAATGATCGTTTAGTATACTGATAGAAATAGTTATGATGACACCTAGTTTTTCATGATGCACTTTAAGCACTAATGAGACATTTACTGATAAGTAAAAAGGATGGTCCCTCCAGAGAATAAAGGTTAAATAGGTCCTAACAGTGATATGCAGTCCCTAAACATAATCCATCTAACTTCTCATTCTCATCCAAAGTAAAATTTTAAGTTGAAAGATGAAAAACCTGCCTCCCTGTTGCCATTTCACAAATATGCCAAGGTAGTACCATATTAGCCACTAAGACCCAGATATTTTCTTCAAAGATAAATTGTCATATATATTGTAAAATATCCATTTTTTCAAGGGAATCAATAAAACTATATTTATTTAAAGAATTGCCCATCAACATTTTTATTTCTCTTGAATTGTTTCACACAAAAAGATTTATTCTCAAAAATGGTCTAAAGAGAAAGCTGCATGAAGCAATGCCCTATTTTAATCACCCCTTTTTAAAAAAAGGTGGTGGGCCTCCCTGGTGGCGCAGTGGTTGAGAGTCCGCCTGCCGATGCAGGGGATACGGGTTCGTGCCCCGGTCTGGGAGGATCCCCCGTGCCGCGTGGCGGCTGGGCCCGTGAGCCGCGTAGCGGCTGGGCCTGTGGGCCGTGGCCGCTGAGCTTGTGCGTCCGGCAACGGGAGAGGCCACGACAGTGAGGGGCCCACATATCGCAAAAAAAAAAAAAAGGTGGTGAGTGACCTCTGGAGGCAAGTGGAAAAAGTATCCTGCTGCTTTCAGGAGTGAAGTGGGGAGAATCAGAAACATCAAATTTTTTTTGATGTTTAATCAGGGTGAATTAAAACATTTAACTTTAAAATTAGTTAACTGAACCTCAATTCAATTATGTAATATTTTAAGTATATAATACAATGCCACAGGGGAGATAGAGACATGAGATCCATAGTTTCCATCTCATTGAGCTTACAATCTCCTAGGGAACTAAAGAGAAGTATTGAAATAACTATAACGCAAGCTAGAATGTGTGAGAACATTTAGGAGTAGCATAGCTACATAGGAATTCAGATTTTTGGTTAGGTTTTTCAGAAAAAGTCTACTACATTCAACAAACATTTACTGAAGACAAACTGTGTGCCAGGCACTATGCTTGAGGATAAATAAGACACAGTACTTTCCTTCAGGCACTCTTGGTATAAAAGGGAAGCTGACACATAAATAGGAAATTTCTATATGTAGTAGCTGGTGGCCTATTAGAATTATGCACAAAGGAGGGAAACTAAAATAGTCCCGAGACTGAGAGGAGGGTCAGAAGAGGCTTCCTAGAGGAAGTGACACCTCAGCTGACTCTTCAAAGATAGGTAGGGATAGTTCTGGTTCGGTGTTGTCATCATAAGCCTGCTCCAGCCCCTCTCCCACTGATGACAACTAAAAACACACGATGAAATACAAAGAGCAAGTACCTGAGGACTCTGAAAAGTGAACAAAGGAGGGGAATCAAAACTTAGAAAAAAACTCTTCAAGGCAACGAGTTGCCTGGCCTGGGTAGCTAAAACTCTGATAGAAACCCCATCTTCCTTGTTCAAGGAACTGAGAAATGGAGACGCTCTGGGTTGGAAAGCAAGTGGGGAGGTGGGTAGGGGAAAGCTAGAGAAGGTGATCACTAAAATTTTGTGTATGAACCACGCAAGCCCCTTGGGTTTGCCCCTGTGTGTGACAGACACCCGAAGCAGCATAGCAACGGCTTTGACAACTGATTTGAGCATTAAACCATTGCCCAAGTCTCAGATGAACGCCTGAGTGGTGCATGTTCAGGACTGGCCCAGAGCCGCACAGCACAGGCTTTGATAACTGAACTGAGATTGGAACCATCATCCACAGAAGGCGATACGAAACTTGCAGCCTGAACTCAATCAGGTTGATTGCCTGCTTAAACAAACACTCTCCAGAGGATGATTTTAACAGGACCCAGAGTCTGCATAATGTAACTGTCACAATGTCCAGGATACAATAGAAAATTACCTGTCATACAAAGAACCAGGAAAATATGACCAAATCCCAAGGAAAATGACAAGCAACAAACACAAACCCTGAGATAACATGGATGTTGGCATTTTCCTAGAATTTAAAGCAGCTGTTACATGTTCCAGGAGGTAAAGATAAATGTAAAGAAAGGCATCTTCAGCAGAGAAAAAGAAACGAAAAAGAACCAGGTGGAAATTTTGAACTGAAAAGTACAATAACCGAAATAAACAAATTCAGTGGATACAGCAGAATGGAGATGAGGAAAGAGGCAGTGCACTTGAAGATAGAGACATCAACAGAGATTATCTAAACTGAAGAACAGAGAGGGGAGAAAACAACTAGAAAAAAAAAAGAGAACATATGAGCATCAAGGATCTCTGCAATAATATCAAAAGGTCTAATTCACAAGTCATCAGAGTCCCAGAAGGAGAGAAGAGATGGAGGCAGAATTATTTGCCCTTAACAATTTGGACCTAACTTACTTCTCCCATATCATATTCTATTCTCTTTAACATATGTATATGCCTTTTGTTTCAATCACATTACACTTTTCTCAAAGAGACATTCCCTGACTCTGAAAAACTATAACAGGTTCTCTTAAATCATAACACCTGTACTTTCTGGGGTAAACTGGGAAGTGATTAATGACCAAATGGATGGGGCTGGAGAGATGGGTTGCAAGGGAAATGATGATGAGACTCAGGTGTGTATAATCTGGGAGCCTAAGTGGGTGAGCTGGAGAGTAATCAGGTGGAAAAGAACATTTCAGATAAACGAGAAAAAAATATTTACACATTTTGAGGCTGTAGTCTGTTTGGTCAAAGAGCAAAAGCAAACAAAAAGCTAGAGTAGGATACACAAAACAAAGCCTTTCCTTCATCCACTGGCATAACTTTTTAAAAATAGCTAATTAATTAATTTTTATTTTTGGCTGTTTTGGGTCTTTGATGCTGCGTGCGGGCTTTCTCTAGTTGCGTAGAGCAGGGGCTACTCTTCCTTGCGGTGCGCGGGCTTCTCATCGCGGTGGCTTCTCTTGTTGTGGAGCACGGGCTCTAGGCGCGCCGGCTTCAGTAGTTGCAGCACGTGGGCTTGGTAGTTGTGGCTCACGGGCTCTAGAGCACAGGCTCAGTAGTTGTGGCGCCCGGCTTAGTTGCTCCGGAGCATGTGGGATCTTCCCGGACCAGGGCTTGAACCCGTGTCCCCTGCACTGGCAGATGGATTCTTAACCACTGCACCACCAGAGAAGACCCCACTGGCATAACCTTATTCAGGCATTCTGCAAATCAAAGCCCTGCTCCACTTCCTTACAACAATGGCTTTATTTGAAGGGACTGGGGGTGAGAGTGTGCTTGAAACCGCAGTTTTGGCTACAGATTTCTAGAGCTATTGTGTCCACTGATTGGCTGACTGACTTTGGGCAAGTTGCTACTTTCTATGACTCAATCTTCCTATCTTAAAATCAGGATAACACGTAATTTAGAGTGTTGTTATGAGGATCAATTTAGATCATACACATGAAAGCTTACATATATGGTTCAACAGATGCTGTGGAGTAACAGATGAACGGCAGATCAATATACGACAGACCTTAAAGGAACTAGGGCAGGAATTTTAGAAAATTGTATAAGAACAGACCTTGGGGTTCCCTTTACCCCCCAGGAGACCCGGGGAGAGGGAGCGAAGCCATACCTTGTATTTCTTGGCCAGCACTTCCTCCTGACGGCTTGTCTGCATCTTCCCTCCTGATTCGTTGGGTCCCAGGCTGCAGCTTCAGCTCGCTCCGCCGCGCGGCGCCCGCCCACAGGGCCTCTGTGAGCTCAGCTAAGTGGGATGCTGAGGCCCGAGCGCGGCGTCCAGTGTCCTGGGCAACCCTATCAACTTCCGGGTTGAGGCAAGGCCGCGGTTGGCTAAAGGCCACATTTCCGCCACGTGACCCGGACAGGCCCCCTGCGTGTGCGAGGGCGCGCCTCCGCTGCCGGCTACATCCGGCGCGTTCCGAAGTTCTAGTCCTCGGCCCGATCTAGTGCCTCTCCCAGGGAGGTGGCACCAGCCGAGACCGCCGGCTCTGGAGGCGCGGAGCCGGGGCAGGGCTTGGAGTTCTCGAGGCTCCTCTGAGAAGCCGGACGGCAGCAAGACCGCTGCTCGCGAGCCTCCAAGCTGGAGCTGGAACTGGAACCCTGTGGGGCCGGGGCCCAGGCTGCCCGGCAGCGGCTTTTCCCGGCCGAGGCCCCAGCGGAGAATGAGCCGGAGGCGGTGGCGGGCTCCCGGCGGAGCGGCCGGGCTGGGAGCATGCTGTGCTGGTTCATCACCGTCCTCCTGTGTTTCGCCTTCCTGGGGCTGGTGAGAGCCGGGGCTGGAACCCTCCCAGGCCGAGGCGTGAGCGGAAGTCCTGTAGAGAACGCGGCCTTCCGAGCTCCTGTCTCGTTTCCGCCGCTTGCAGACTGGGTGTCCTTGGGCTCCTTAATCTGCCGGAGCCTCAGTTTCATAATCTGAAAAATGGGCACAGTTATAATCTTAGAGGGTTATTGTCAAGTGTGAAACCGATTTTCGTAAAATATTTTCCAGCTCCAGCAAACCTTTCTACCTCTCCTCCGTGGGGTCGGGGCGATGCAAGAGGGGTTGCCAGGTTTATAGCCTCCCCCGAAGCCCCCCCCCCGCCGCCCCCTGCGTTCACCCAACCCCCAAATTATTGCACAAAGTTGCTCTACTGGTTTTTTCTCTTCCTCGGCTGACCAAACTCACCCCTTATTTTTGCAGGTGGGGAAATAGACCCAGAGAGGGAAAGTGACTTTTTCGGACCACACAGCTGGTTAAGTGGTTAAGCCAGGAATAATGTCTTTTATTCTGCCTACAGTCTTATGTAAAACAAAATTTCAGGTCCTTCAATGTTTTTCTAAGAACAAACTGCAAGGCTAGTTTGGCCTTTTGCCAACCCCTTTGGTCGCCCTGTGGTCACTTGTCTTAAATATTGGGATCCTGGGGAGTTGGGAGGGTGAGTCCTCTGAGCAGAGTCACTTCTGACCACTTAGTGTCTCTTCTTTTGAGCCACGCTTGATTCTTAGAGTATTTGTATTTGAGGAAAAGTCATTGCAGATGATGTGCCAGGTCCTTTTAAGTGCTTTGCAGGCGGGAACCAATTTGGTTACAGCTGGGGCACAGCCTTCCCTTCCTGTATTAGGCACTTACTCTGCACCTGTGCCCAAGCTTCCCCGTAGCTGGGGACTGCTCAGGCCTGGAGAGGGGCTACACCCAAGCGTTTAGAGCAAACAGGTTTATAGCCTCCCCCGAAGCCCCCCCCCGCCGCCTCCTGCGTTCACCCAACCCCCAAATTATTGCACAAAGTTGCTCTACTGGTTTTTTCTCTTCCTCGGCTGACCAAACTCACCCCTTATTTTTGCAGGTGGGGAAATAGACCCAGAGAGGGAAAGTGACTTTTTCGGACCACACAGCTGGTTAAGTGGTTAAGCCAGGAATAATGTCTTTTATTCTGCCTACAGTCTTATGTAAAACAAAATTTCAGGTCCTTCAATGTTTTTCTAAGAACAAACTGCAAGGCTAGTTTGGCCTTTTGCCAACCCCTTTGGTCGCCCTGTGGTCACTTGTCTTAAATATTGGGATCCTGGGGAGTTGGGAGGGTGAGTCCTCTGAGCAGAGTCACTTCTGACCACTTAGTGTCTCTTCTTTTGAGCCACGCTTGATTCTTAGAGTATTTGTATTTGAGGAAAAGTCATTGCAGATGATGTGCCAGGTCCTTTTAAGTGCTTTGCAGGCGGGAACCAATTTGGTTACAGCTGGGGCACAGCCTTCCCTTCCTGTATTAGGCACTTACTCTGCACCTGTGCCCAAGCTTCCCCGTAGCTGGGGACTGCTCAGGCCTGGAGAGGGGCTACACCCAAGCGTTTAGAGCAAATTCGTGCAATTAGAATCACTTATTCTTGAAATGTAGACCGATTGGAAACATTTTTTTGTGTGTCCAACGAATTTCCTGTGGAAGCCAACTGCAGCCCCTAATTTTTGCTGAAGTTACATGTCTTTGAGTAAAATTTTATTTTTAAAGTCATTGCATACACGCATATGTAATATTCTCTAAGAAAGCCTTACAGACGGTACTCCTGAGGCTTTGGTTTTCTTTGAAGAAAAATATAGATTTAGAACCATTCAAATTGTTTATCTCTTGCATGTTTTATATGTGTAATTCAGAGGAAGGACCCCATGTACATCCAGAAATAATGCTGTTTTAACAACATCAAAAAATGGGGATAATATTTTGATGGTTTGTTAACTTAAATTTTTAACCTCAAAATTCTAGTGTTATTTGTGCATGCAGTATATTTCAGACTATTCAAAACTATTTCATAAATTTTTTAATGTTACATTTTACTGTGAATACAAATACTGTAGTTTTTTTTGGTATTGTTCAAAAAGGAAACAGAATTGCAGCAAAGAGCCAAAAGAATTAAAGAATTTTGTAAAAATCGAGAGTTGTCAAAACTAGAAAAACACTAGGACTTGTCACACCAGAAATAGGGGTCTATAGCTCTACTAGTACTAGTATTTTCATTATGAATTTTACTGTGGGGCTTAATCTCCTACATTACATCGAAATCCCCTCCTCCCTTTTTAATACTGAAAAAAAGCTACCACCTAGATAGACATTATTTTAATGATTGTAAATAAAAACTTCTGTCTTTTTAAATTTTAGGGAATGAGTGTCACTATACTGGGACCCATGTTTCAAGATTTGGCAACAAATGTGAATCGCAATATCAGCAGTCTTTCTCTGATTTTTGTGGGCCATGCCTTTGGATATTTGGGTGGCTCTGTGATTGGAGTTCTTTTTGACAGTATGAATCATTTTCTTCTTTTGGGTAAGTAAACAACAATTTTCGCTTCTTTGTGACTTTCGAGGAATTTACAGTTTGTTTATAAATATGAAACACACTGGCTTGCAGAATGGTTGACAACTTAAGGGTAGTGTTTAGGTATCCTCAGTGGAAGTCAGGTTTCCCTGGTGCCCGCTTTCATCTTGGCAGTTACTGGGAATCCAGTCTAAACCCCTCTGGAAATTTAGATTAGCCCTGGAGTGTGTTAGCGATCCTTAGCCTTCCCGACCTTCATTGTAGTTTAGGCACCACCACTGGATAACATACAAGTTGTCCAAAGAGCTCTGATTGTCAGGGTTTAGGGCAGATCTCCTGGGGCCATAGATCAGAATAAACTCCTTGAACCTCCCCAGATTAGACCCTGGACTGAGAATGAGGTGGGAGGGGGTGGTGGGTGAAATGATGAAGGCTCAATTTTTGTCCCAGCTGCCCCACGTTAATGATTACCCCAGGCCTCTCTACCTCACTCTCAAAATAGATAGCAAAACTTTTAACTTACTCTTTTTTTGGATAAATTGACATGTTTAAAGAAAATCTGGATTAATGTGATAAAACTGCTTTGGACGTAAGGAGATAATTTACCATTGTTGATGAATGAGTAAATAATCTCTCTGATTTCCATAGTGTGTCGAAAGAATATACTTCCTATATTTCCCTCCCTATTTGCCAAATTTGTTTAAAACATTTCTACTATGAACTACTATAGTAATTGCATTTAATTTTTGTCTTTTTTATTTTTTACCTCATATCTAAACATCTCTTTAGGTTGTTAAATATGAAACATTTAAATGAATAATTTTTGAGCTCTGTTTTGCTATAAAACTTTGCCTTGTGGTATAATGTATGGTTTGATTATTAGCAGTACTAGAAATGTATTTATAGTAGAATAACATATATTTTACAGTCCATAAAGATGATAAAAGCTTTTAAATGAAATAACTGTTAGTAGAAGCTGAACCTCTCATCTACTCATTATTACTCAATTTTAATTTGACCTGTTTTACATTTTTGGGAGTTTTTATGATGTTGCCTTGATCCATAACCCTTTCCCATAAATAGTGTTTTTTATAGCTGACTTTTACTTTTCTTCTCAGGGGTGTCAATGTTCGCTACCACAATTGGTCTTTATCTTGTTCCATTTTGTAAGGCCGTGGTGTTATTGATTGTCATGATGTCCATCTTTGGTGGTTCAGTTGGCATTCTGGATACAGGTCAGTGAGCCCTTCATTGTCAACTCTGGGAGTAGGGACTTTCTACTAGAAAAAGTAGAGCATATGATATTAAATTGTCACCTGCAGTGTCCCCTAAAATGACACTGACCTTCTGAGTTGGTCGTGGGGTCTCCAGGTCAGAACCACCTTTCTGGCAACTACTCTTCTTGCCAAGTAGGGTGCCCATTTTTGAGCAGCCAACCACAGAGTGAATTCAGAGAATTTTGTTCTTTGAGAGATTGTTGATTCACAGTATCCAAACAGGGAAGGGGCCCCCATGTGGGTAATTACAGTGCAGATGAGCAGGTTTTCATTTCGGGATAGAACTTTATCATTGTAATATGGCAGGAATTGATGGGTTAATAGAACAAACCAAGTTTGGAACCATTATTTGGCTGAGGAAACATAGAAGCAGCTCTCCAATTTAAAATGCACTCTGCCTTTTGAACTAAGAGAAACCTGTGCTGTGTATTATTTCCCTTCTTTTCCTATTCTCTCAAAAGTTCCTGCCCTCCTGTAGGAGATCCTCTCCATGTATCTTCATATCTTTTAAAACCTACTAAATAACATATGTGACATTTCTTCACCCCTGAAACCAACGTTCTCCCCCTCTTCCTGTTATTTGATAGGTTGGGGAAATATTTTTTTACTTTGGGCTTAATTTGGTTGTGAAATTACAGGATGGAATTGTATGTTTGTCTGCAAATATATTAAAGAGAGAAAACACAAGACTTGAGGCTTCTTGCCTTTCACCATGTAGATACATAGACAGTGTAACTGCGTGTGTTAGAAGGTGTCCATGTTCCTTGTTTCCTGCAATGGGCACAGCAGAATCCTGTAATGTTCAGGTTCCTGAACATGTGTTTTGCATCTGCCATATACATAAATAATTTTCTTCAAGTGGCTACCGATGGCAGGTACAGAAAAATTTGGTAATTTGGCCACTATCTGATGATAATATTTATTTAAAATGTTTAAAAATAACTATATAAATATCCTTCCCTACCCCCACCCCTCCTATCCCTAGTATTAGAACTGTATTATAAAAAGCCTTGGGCTAATGTACTTGGCTCTAGGAAATAGCGGTTTATTAGCTTGTAGAATCCGATTTGTGAGTGTGTGATGTTCCAGTGCTTAGAGTTCGCTGGTGGTATTGGTGAGTTAGAGTTTCTTAATCATAGAATTGATTTAGTTGCAACAGTTGATAACTTAGAATATTATAATCCTTGTGCCATGTAAAATAGACTCATCTATTTTGAACTTCTTTTTACTGAGTTACTATGATTAAATTATTCTCCCCATCTTTCATTGGTAGGTGGTAACATCCTAATCTTGGCTATTTGGGGGGACAAAGGAGCCCCCCCATATGCAGGCCTTACACTTCAGTTTTGCCTTGGGTGCCTTTTTGGCTCCCCTGCTGGCTAAATTGGCATTGGGCAGGATGGTGTCTGCTGAAAACCACACAGAGGCTGACTTTAACCATTCTGCCTTCAACCAGTCATCTGAAGCTGACTCAGAATCTCTACTTCGAATACCTGACGATATGAATTTACTGTGGGCTTACGCTGTTATCGGTGCTTATATTTTTGTAGTTTCTCTCTTTTTTTTCACTCTGTTTGTAAAGAAAAGCTCAAGGCAGGAAAAAGCAAAAGTATCTACTCAGAGGTTTCGAAGAGCTAAATATCACAATGCCCTTCTTTGTCTCCTTTTTCTGTTCTTCTTTTTTTATGTTGGAGCCGAGGTAACATATGGCTCTTACGTTTTCTCCTTTGCAACCACCCATGCTGGCATGAAAGAAAGTGAAGCAGCTGGGTTGAACTCCATCTTCTGGGGGACCTTTGAAGCCTGCAGGGGTATGGCAATCTTTTTTGCTACATGTTTACAACCTGGAACCATGATTGTGTTGAGCAACATTGGCAGCCTGGCTTCATCTTTATTTCTGGTGCTTTTCGACAAGAGCCGAGTTTGTCTCTGGATAGCAGCTTCAGTGTATGGTGCCTCAATGGCAACCACATTTCCCAGTGGTGTTTCTTGGATTGAGCAGTACACAACCATCCATGGGAAAGCTGCAGCATTTTTTGTAGTCGGTGCTGCCCTGGGAGAAATGGCTATTCCTGCAGTAATTGGAATTCTTCAAGGAAAATACCCTGATTTGCCTGTAGTTTTGTACACCTGTTTGGGGTCATCAATAGCCACTGCTGTTTTATTTCCTGTGCTGTATAAATTAGCCACCTTGCCTATCAGTCGTCAGCATAAAGAACACAGTAAAAGCGAGGACCAGAAAGCTTTGCTCTCTAGCTCTGGGCTAAATGACTATGAGGAAGAGAATGAAGAAGAAGATGCAGAAAAATGGGATGAAATGGACTTTGAAGTGATCGAAATGAATGATACAATGAGGAATTCTGTAATAGAGACATCTAGATATATTTTGATGGAGCCCACAGCTGACGTCTCCAACCAATCCCACTCAAATGCGTTAATGTTTGAGTCCTCTCCAGTTAATATGGGCAAGTCCCCTGTGAATCACCTTGCAAGAAACCAGGACAAAAGGGACTAAGGGCTAGAGAAGATGAATTATTTACTGACTTCCCTGAATAATCACCAGTTCTAAAGAGGCCAGTCAGAGCAAAGCATAACAGATTTTCAACAAGCTTTGGGGGTCAAAATTTCTAGGTCCAAGTATAGCAAATGCAAAAAGGTTTTGAAATGTTTTATCATTCCCAGAGCCTTTTGTAAAGAACCAATGATATCATACAGCTGGATCCTGTTGTGAGGCTAGTGTTTGGTGGCATGTGGCTGATTAGGCAATATTTTCTGGTCTCAGAGTGTGCAGAGAAGGCATTTGTTTTTGAGAAGTTGGATGCCATTCAGATAGAATGAAACTGTTTAGTAGTTGAATTGGTTAGCTGAACAAATTATCCATCGTCAGTATTCTGCCAGGGAAGTTGAGGAGAATCATATCATAAAAGAGCATCTTTGAAAATGGACAGAGATTTTTATTGTTTCACTCTGTAGTGTTGGACCAGAAAATGCTAATTACTCATATGATTTCTGTTTTCTGTGAAGAGAACACAGAACAGGCACAGACCTGGCTTCAGGCCTCCACTGCTGCTTACTAGTCTTCTGGCCCTGTACTCAGTCATTTAACTTATATAGGTCTCATTTATCTCATCCCCGATCTGTGATTCTCTAATGAAAATGCGATGACTTTCAAACTGGGAATCCATAATTTTTAAAGTTTGTGCAAAATATCTGCTAGAAATCAATATGTGTCACCCCATTCTTCATTTCAAATGAGAAGTGAAAAAAATTGATAGCTTTAAGAATGTGCTACTGACTATGAATAGGGTCAATTTAAGAGACTCAGTGTTTAATACTTTATTTGAATAATTGTCTGAAGAATACATTTTTAGTACCGTATTTCGTCAATTCTGAGATGCACCTTTTTTCACATTTTTAACATCTCTGAAATCAGAATATGTGTTGAAATCAATGATCATTTAACATTGTGGCAAAACTTAATTGACGGTGTTTTCCTATATACTTCTACAAAGTAGTGTTGCATTTTACAATCAGTGTCTTAGTTTCAGTGACTATAGTAATTCATTCAATTATGGAGATTATACTATTTTTACAGACATTTTAAAAAGAGAAGTTATTTTTATATGCTTATTTTCTCTAATTATGTACAAACAGGATTTGGAGATGCCTTGTTCCAATTTTTAAAGCTGTTTCAGGGTTACTATGTTAGTAGTAGGGCTGTGGACAGGATCTCTTGAGGTCTTTTGCCTAGCTCAGTGACACAGTGTGGGTATGAGCCTTGCTGTTCCAGGAATTGCTCCTCATTTAGTCTGGTTGGTAATCATGTACGCGCTGTAAATTAGGTTGCTAGTTTAATTTACAATGAGACACAGTCTTTTCCAATGATTGGAATACTTGTATCCCCCAAGTGGATACAATACTCTGGATACAATGCTTGAAGCCCTCTGGGCTTCCTCTTTGCTGAGTTTGAAATACCTGGGAAACCAAAGTAATGATTAGAAAGTGGCTTGGGAGCCTAAGAGTCAGGGATCATGAGTATGGCGAATGGGCTATCCTTTGGTAAATGACTGGCATTGATGACAGATTTTATTCACTTCTTTTTAGCATATTTTATGCTGAAAAATATCTAATTTCTACTTGGTTGCAGTGTGTCTACTTTTTATCTAATTTCTATAAATTTGCCTTTGTTTTAAGTGGAAAACTACCTTTCTTGGCCACTGTCCATTATTGGTTCATATTAACAATCTGACAGTTTTAGAGAGGGCTGGTGAAGAAATTAGCAGTGAAAAGCCTATTCTTGCTCTTTTTATACTGTGTTTTTCTCTTAGCTAGAACTTGGAGATTATCTCTGCTGCATTTACTGCTTCTTCTCAGGTTGTTGGAATTTAGGCAGTAGCAACTGTTTGGCATCTGCGCGGCTTGCTAGAATAGGGATTCTACCTGCAGCATCTACATTTAAAGGGTAAAAAGGCAACTCAGGGAAAGAAGGTAATAAGAACATGGCAGAAAATTTGGAAGTCCATGAAAAATGCATTAGAATTCCACAAACCAAAATGTGAATGGCCAGATGAGATTATAGGCATTGTTAAAGTTTAATAATGTATTTCCATATTGGAAGGATAAGACTTATTACAATTCAGGAATTAGCATTCATCCTAATAATAAGTTCTTAGTTAAGTAAGTGTCCGCTGATACACAGATAACCAATACCAAAATTTTCTATTGCTGAGTAACAAATTACCAGAAATTTAACAGCTTAAAACAGCGGAGTTTTTGTTTCTTTAACCTCATAGTTTCCTTGAGTCAGGAGTTTGGGCACGGTGTCACTGTCACTCACGTTTTCACAGGGCTGCAGTCAGGCTGTTGGAAGAGTTGTGCTTCTTTGTGGAGCTTGGGCTTCCCTTCCAGGGCCGTGTAGTTTTTGACAGTATTCAGTTCCTTGATTTGGTGGATTGAAGTCTCCGTTTTTTGCTGGCTGTCAGCAGGCACCATTCTCGATTGTTAGAACCTCCCACAGACCCTTGCTCTGTGGCCCTCTCTTAGATCCTCTCAAAAGTATGGTAGCTTGTTTCTTCAAAGCCAGTGGGAGAATCTCTTACCAGAGCCAGCTAAGCTGGTGTCTTTTATAATATAATGTAATCACAGGAGTGACATCCTGTCACCTTTGCCATATTCTGTTGGCTAGAAGGAAGTCGCAGATCTGCCCAAACTCAAGGGGAGAAGCTAGTATAGGGATGTATCTGATTATTGGGGGTCACCCTGGAGTGTGTCTGCTATACTCAGGTACCTGCAAAATTCAAGAGAGCTAGAAAGTTTGAGCTGGGGGGAAGAAAGACCTTCAGCAGTCATTGAAAGTGATTATAGATACAGCCCACTGAACGTACTAGTGAGGGAATGGAAAGTGCTCCATAGACCAGGCCAATAAACCTAACTTGGAGTTAGGCTTTTTTTTCTTGAGATTTTATTTTGTGTCCTTTACCACTGTGCTTTTTAAAACCCGTTCAAATGCAGCATAATATGAGGGAAATAGGTAAGTTTCAGTTTAATTGTATTTTCATAGTAAAGTCCAAGAACACTTAGAGAGCATTTTTCAATTACTATTATTTTTTAAAGGAAAATCTTTTTTAAAAATCAGTTTTTATTATACAAGTAATGAAGGTATAAAGAAAGGTCATGATAGAAGATTAGGGAAATACCTAAAAATATAAGGGACAAATATAAGTAATCATAATCCTAAACACCTGGAAAGTTCTTACATTTCTAATCAACTTAATTTCCTAAGTCAAGGGTAAAGGGGTAAAAAAAAGTTTCATTCTACCAGATAAGGTATCAGAAACAACTTGAATTTTGTGTCCAGATTATATTGATACTACATTTGGTGGACTGGTTTTTAGTTTGAAGAATTGTAGTTTATTAAAAACAAAAACAGTGTAGCAACACATTCCTAAAAAATGTGTGAGACCCAGATTACATGTAAAATGATTTTGTTTCAGGTAGATTTACTGAATAGTCAGGATAGCTTTCTCATAACCGGAACTTTTGTTTTACCATAGCAATGTACCATTTTCAATCCTGCAGCTTAAAAAGTTATTACTAAAATAGAGCTTAAAATTCTTAATGGAAGTAGATATATTCTTCTGGGATGCCCTGTATTTGTGTTTAAGTGTCCTTGTTTTGTTCATAGTGTTGTAAATGTTTGTGTGTGTTTGTATATGTGAACCCACAGATATTGTGTGTGTTTGATGTTTTCTTATACTATGGGGATGCTGTGGAGGTAGAGGTGATAGGCAAGGGATACAGAAAAGCTTCCCGTATGATTCAAAGTTTGTTAGAAATGTTCTTTTAAAAAAAAAAAAATTTATTTATTTTGGCTGCGCCGGCTCTTACTTGTGGCACGTGGAACCTTTGTTGCAGTGTGCAGGATCTTTAGTTGTGGCATGCATGTGGGCTCTAGTTCCCTGACTAGGAATTGAACCTGGCTGCCTTCATTGGGAGCGCAAGAGTCTTTCCCATTGGACCACCAGGGAAGTCCCAGAAATTTTTTTTTTTTTTTTTTTTTTGTGGTACACGGGCCTCTCACCGTTGTGGCCTCTCCTGTTGCGGAGCACAGGCTCCGGACGCGCAAGCTCACCGGCCATGGCTCACAGGCCCAGCCGCTCCGCGGCATGTGGGATCTTCCCGGACCGGGGCACGAACCCGCGTCCCCTGCATCAGCAGGCGGACTCTCAACCACTGCGCCACTAGGGAAGCCCTGTTTTTTGTTTTTAATTGATATTTTTGTGAAGATTACTATAGATTTACATGCAGTTGTATATAGTGTTTTTTTTCAAATTTGCTGAGAGAGGGTTACTTGCTCAATGTGGAAGGGTAGAGAACTAGACTAGTGCTTCTCATACTTTAATGTGCATTAGAATTGCTTGTTAAAATACAGATTCTAATTCAGCTGGACTGGGGTAGGACTGAGATTCTACATTTCTAAGAAGCTCCTAGGTGCTGTTGGCCCTTGGATTGACCACACTTTGGGTAGCAAGGTCCACTTTTCGGGAGTGTCAAGTTCTTTGCTACTTTTGGGAATTTCATTTGTTTTGTTTTAGCTTTTCTTTCTTTTTTTTTTTAAATAGATGACCACAACAAAAGCAACAATGATTGCAATTGGCAAACATGAAACACACTCATACTATGTCATAATATTAACATTCAGTCCAGTAATCCTCCACTGTAACAGCTCCTTTACTTTGCATTGAAAATTGATTTGTATATTTTTTGCCTCTTGAGTCCTTGTGGGATTTTTTTTTTATTCAAATAGAAAGTCACAAAAATTATAATCATCCTCATCAGTTCACTCAGTCACATGTAATCATCTTTTTTTCATCTTGATCTTTTGTTAGCACTTTTCTGAATTCATCAGTTTTCCATTAGAGTTCTGAAAATGCTTAATTCATTCAGTTCAGCAGTACAGTCAGTTACCAGAAACCTGCACTTCTCAGTCTTTTCCATGAATTCCTTGAAGATGAAACCCTTTTGTAGGAATATTTTTGCAAAAGCATCAGAGTACACCCAGAACTCTCTGTAAATGACAAAAGACTTGTCTGTGGCTAGGACTTCCAAAGCTATGTTGAATGATAGTGGTGAGAGTGGACATCCTTGTCTTGTACCTGATCTTAGAGGAAATGCTTTCAGTTTTTCACCATTGCGAATGATG